TATGCAGCTTCTGTGCCACCTCTGCAGTGCAAAGACTAATTTCGGTGTTAGTGATTTCATTTGGTGCAGCTCAGTGTTTTATTATTCTAATTGTATTTATTGATTAAAAATAAGAAATTTCTCAAGCAAATGTGGATCTTTCAGATGAATTTGAGGAGTACTGGTCTGGTCTTGGTCTTGACTTGGTCCCAACACTCAAAAGTCTTTGTCTTGTTTTGGTCTCAACACACATTGGTCTTAGTCTTGGATTTGGTGGTTTTGTGTAACACTATAACTAGTTCATACAGTAATTTAGTTGTCTTAATATCTAAACACTTACACTGACACCATGGATAAGTTGTTTATTTTGACATTAATTATTACATTGCATTGTCATTTAATTGAAGTGTTTATCATTGAAATAGCCTATCATACATGCAAGGATTGGCGTTTGACACGGATGAGAATGAAGTCGGCGATTGATTGTGATTAGTTCATCCTCACTGGCGATGGAAAAAGTAACAGAAATCACGTGACTCGTGCCAATTTACTGATATGGCTCGTTCAATGCCTTAAAGCATTTTAAAGCTTTATGTCACAATATTTTACATATTACAAACATTGTGATGATCGTTTATTTGTTCGTGATAGTAGTTTATTAAGTTGAACTGAACTTAAGCTTCTGTCATCAAAACAATTCCTTGTTTGTCATTCATTCATTCATATTCCTCACGTGTCACGTAACAAAAGGAATAACGGATTCGGATCAGTAGACTTTAAATGCTATGTATTCTAGAAGATTCTGTTTAATAGGTGTGTTGAAGCAGCCCTGCGCAGACCGATTGGTGAATGATATCAATAATAAACGATCATGATCATGAACGAATTGTTGCGCATGCGTAGTCACCAAAACAAACAATCAATCGGAAAGCTCGTTACAACAGACTACTTTGGTTACAGTCATATAAACGATTATGGCACACACACGTTCTCTAATAGCTTCTATTATAAAAGTATAACACTAATTATTGTAAAGTAAAAAATATAGCTGTTTTCTTAATGAATACACAAACAAGAAAATAAGATCACTTTTTTATTATTTTACACTGATTAACATGATTTTTGTTGTGAATAACTTCTATTTAATGCAAAATAGAAAAATGTCTCAAAATACTACCCTTACAACCCTCAATCCCAGCAAGCCACTGTAGGATGTGTCTGTAAAACCCATCAGGAAAAAAAAAATATGTCAGTAATAAAAAAAAAAATTCTACTCCACCCCATTTTTTCATCTCCCATGGTTTAATCAGGCAAGCACACATGCAGACAGAGAAGGAAAGACAAAAAAAAAAAGTGATGAGACAGATGGAGAAAGAGAAGTGGAATAATAGAGCGAGAGAAACAAACAACATGCAGGGTATTTAATATCTACAGCAGAAGCATATCATCTTCATCATCAGTACTGCTTGAGTAAAGGGCTTCCAAGTGTTCTGGCCAGCTGGAATATTCACATTCTTCACCAGTAATATGTTCAGTTATGGTGTCAATTGCCTGATAACTTGTTTTTACAGTCTCCTGGTGAGCTCTTAGCTGATGTAATTTTCTCTTTAACAAACACTGAAGTCCTTGAATCCCATCATCTGGAAGACTCCAGGGGTTAACTATAAAAACAAACACACAATAAATAAATGAAAAGTTAATTTCATGTGGGATCATGAGATTACAAAGACATGGTTTAAATTTTATATATATAAAAATGTTAGGTTCTTACCACCGAAGATGATGGTATCAAGCAAACTATTCAGTTTGTGTTCCTGACTTCTTAGATAAAGCCAGTGCTGCTTTGCCTCTTGAACAACGATAGTTTGTTCTTCCTCTAGTCGTTGAATTAGCATCACCTTGTCAAAGAACTTTTTCTTTGTCAAGAGGTTGACATCATCTACACAATACAGGTAAATCATGTAAATGACAAAGACATATTGACTATATAATTCAATGTGAATACCTATGTTATGCATCATTGACCTTGCTCTGTTAGCTGCCAGGGGAAAACGTAGTCATTTTGTAGGACCTCTTCAATGGACTGTATCTTGAGGAAGGGGTCAACAAGGGCATTGTACTGCTCAATTGCAGAAGCCAGCTTCTTTCTCTCCTCGTTTATTTTTCTTCTTATTTTATTTCGCCCTTTGTTTGTGGCTGAAACATAATGAATTGACATGGGGCATTTTTTGTATTACTATTTGTTATTGACAACAATAATAGTAGTAATAGTGATAAGAATGATGAAGACGAAGAATAAGTAGATCTTTCCTTTTATATTAAACATACCAGTGTGTCTGTAAAGACGATGTTGCCGTTGTTTAATGCACAAAGATAATTCTTCCATTGTGTTCCTTATTGGCTGAATTGCAGCATCACGGTCTCCTACAGTTGCTGTTTAAAAAAAAAAAA